CATATTTATTATTATGATTCTCTCTAACGCCTATAATGGTTAATGCAATTCTATTCCATATTGTATACAAGAAAATCTTCATAAAAAGCTTCATCGAGGATGAGAATATATTGAARATAGAGACGGATGATAAACGATTGAGTAAGCATAGAAGAAGTGGCTTCGACTACTGACCAAGTTGAACCATATGCATAGGGATCTATGTAGGTTATTTTGTTTTATCTTATTTGTTTCTTTATATATTAGAATGATTTTATTTTAGTTATTGTTTTATGGTATGAAAGAAGTTTTTTTACTTACAATACCGCGCATCGCGCGGTTCTCATACTAGTATAGTATAGATTTGGAATTTTTTTAGAAACAAGTTAATTACTGATAATTCCAACTCGTCTTATATGGAACCTGTTTTCAAACCAAGGACATTGATGTGAGTGGCTGTTTTTTAGGCTCACTCAACAGCTGAAACTAGCAGATGTGTCAGATCAAACTCATGACATGTCTTGTATTTAGATAAAATCGGTGTATTCATTTGTCAACTGAGCTACACATCGATAAATAACCGTAAAAGAAACAGTCTCGTATGATTGAACGAGCCCCTAAAAACCTTATATATAGCCGTACGTCCAAAGGACTAAACTTGATGCCAATTCTTAAAACTTGAAGGGCTAAACTTGGATACTGGAAATAGTTGAAGGGCCAATTCTTAAAATTTGATGCCAATTGAACATACGGGTCAACCTGCTCCAAATAATCCACTATTTCGACCCGTATCTTGTAGCGCGCGAGAACTGCACGGTTCCGAATCACAACTCCCTTCTTTCAAACCCTCGAAAACAAAATCACAAATTGGGTGCAAACGATTTCGTCTGTTAGCAGCAATGGCCGCTGGAGAAGAAGATCAAAAACCTTCGATACGATCTTCTATCAAGTCTCATATGTCGTTCAACAATTATCCCAGATGGAAAGACAAGGTTCGTATCAATCTTTGTTGATGGAAAATTTTACAAGACCGTGTTTGATTTTTGGGTGTACTGAATCCTGTTAAGTTCATGATCATCTCAGTTTGTATTTAGTTTTCTGAATTTGCTTCGTTATATGGCTTGAACGGACAAAAGTGTAGTTGATCAGTCACTAAATTTTGCAATTGCTGTGTGATTTGAGGAAAGTTTTCGTCAGAAGTAAGATTTCCAGTAGTGGAAAATTGACTCCATTATTGGTGGAGGGTATATTATTTCTTGATTTTAAGTATGATTTTGTGTAAATTTGTAACATATCAGTTGATAATTAATGGCAAAACAGCAGAATTTTTGTTCAATTGAATAATTGATTACTTTTTTTGTGGGAAGTTCAAACAAAGAACAGGAAAGGTTAAGAAAAGTTTCGTATGTGAATCATTGAAAAACTCCATCTGAAGATGCATATGATGCATTTGGTTAATCTTTAATGTCGTTCACAACTTCACAATATGCATCTTCAAGTAGATTTTTTTCCACATATATTCAGTGATTCACATATGAACCTCCCTCTATTACCTTCTCACGGTATTTAGCATTCTTACTTGAACTGACCCCTACATTTTTTTTTTGGTTCACACTTGACACAAAGTTATGTCAGGCTTTTATGCGCCAAAAGTTTATTAATCATATAGCTTCTGTTTTTGGAACTATGATTCCTTTTATGGGAAGAAAATTTATGTGAGTAATTGTTCATTTGACCCCATTAGTCGAAGGTGGAGTGTTATTTGGAATGACCAGAGTATCTATCAGATGGCTGAAGTATATGCTCTTGTGTTGTAGCTAAGAGAGAACTGTTACAAGAGGGTTCGTGCTGACCGGACTCGGCTTTTGTGGAAAATGAGGTTACCTGATTCGAAGGACCATTCTCTTAGGCATGAGGTCTGTCTTTTCATTGATATGCATATGTATGTATGTGTGTTTGTAATTTTTCTTTTCTTTTTCTATATTTCATGTTCTGAATTGTGGTTTCATGTTGTTGGGATAAATTAAGGTTGTTCCTTCTGGGATTCATATGGCTGCCTTAATTGAAAACATTTACAAACTGTCACGCCTTCTCTTTTAAATGGAGAATAAGGGAAAATGGATATTACTCCCCATCTGGATTAATAGGTATTTATGGACTGACCACTATTAGATCCATAGCCCATGTTTGGGAACCATAGTTAACATATTTTTTGAGCTTATTGAAAATCCCTTTTTGGATGGACAAAAACTAGCTGATAAGCTAGCTTATAAGTAGCTTTTCAATAATCTCCAGGAACATTTTGCCACTTTCTTCCAATTATACCCCTGATTAACATACATCTCTGATCTTCCAAACAGCATATATTAACATTTATACAGGAATTGCAAGGTCCCATGTTTTATAGGAATAACAACCACCAAGCAGAAAAATAACGCCATACTGCTAGTAGGACGGTCTACTTATCTCACCTATCTTCTTTTAATTTTTGTTTTAGAAGTTGGGGGTCTTCATGGAAACAACTTCTCTACCTCAAGGGTAGAGGTAACTTTTGCGTACATCGTACCCCTAGGCTGTATCTCTGTGTGGGATATACTAGGTTTGTGTGGTGTGGTTTGTTAGTTGCAGTCTAAACAACCCTCAACCATTTCTTATTGTAGATCGCTTCTATAATTGACCGAAGAGACGTATGCCGGGTCTTTCTTATTTCTAACAAAATAAATGTTTATAAGTAAGAGCGCTCAAGAAAGAGCTTCACTGTAACATGAAATGCATGCTGAAACTATTTCTATAAAATAATTTATGTACGCAGCATTTTGCAATTTAGTGCACAAAACAACCTATGGTCTTGGTTGGCTATTCCCAATATAGTTCTTGTTGTATTTTAAATAAAATGGGAATGCCAATGCTCATTTATTAGCAAGTACTCTCTTCGTCCCAAAATAAATTTCCACAATGAAAAAGGTACACAGTTATGGAAATATGCAATTATTACACTTTTTAATTAAGCAAATGACAATTTTACCCTTAATAATAGATGGAGTAATGAATTTACCTATCTCATATTAAGGGTAGAATTCGAAAGTATGCACTTACTCCCTCTATCACAAAATAAATGTCTACAATTAAAAATGGCACATAGCATTAGGAATATGTAATTATTACAATTTTTAATTAACCAAAGGACAACTTTACCCTTAATAATAGAGAGAGAATTTCTCCATCTTATAATTAAGTGTAGAATGGGAAAATAAATATTTACTTTTGAAAGTGAACTTATTTTGGCACAAACTAAAATAGAAATGTGGATACTTATTTTGGAACGCAGGGAGTATTTTGGGACAGACTGAAATAGAAATATGGACACTTATTTTGGGATGGAGGGATTACTAGATTTGGACATTACCTTATACGTATACTTGTGATGTAGATAAATATTGTTGCTTGAGATTACCATTTACTTCAAATTAAGTTTTTCTTTGCAGGAGTTAATTAAATCAACCTTCCAAGACATTGTATCTGATGAACTTAGAAAAATTAAAGAGACACCAGTGAGAAGCTGTTCTGGAACTCTGAATCCCGACCCAGAAACCAGTGATGATATTTTATGGGAATATGATGGTCCTCATGCAGCATTCCAAGGTGAATGCGAAGAAATTTTGTTGGAAATGCAGAAGATTTTCTACGAGGACCTTAGTAGTGATCAGATTGGAAAAGGTAAAGTTTGATTGCTTATTAAGTTATAATATTAATTCCATTGGATACCCACAGATTTTTGCAGCGAGATTCTAAATCATCATAATTGCAGTAGAGAATTAGAATGTCATTTTTACATAAACTGAGATTACTTTATTACCTTCTTTAGCTATTATTTTACGGTTTCACTTTTTCTTTCTTTTAGTTCTCCTTCCCCTGAGATTACATCTATTTGCAGAACCAGATAGCTACAAAGTATGGGAAGAAGAGGAAGATGAATACTTAGCTCGTGCTGTTTTCGAGAATATGCAGCTGAATAATGATAAGGTATGCCCCTAATAGCTGAATCCATTCATTCAATGATGCTCTTACTTAAAATCATGACAATGGGGAAAAATGAAAACCACATCAATTAGTTGGGATAGAGGTGAGGTCTGCATACATCTTAACCTCCCCCGGATCCCACCTTCGGTGGGATATACTGAGTTCGTTTGGTTTGATTTGTTTTATCAAGTATATGAAAAGTTTTACTGACACAGAGTTGGTGTGTGTTAAATGTGTGACTTTATGACATTTTGGACCATTGTGCTCTTGTTGAGTTCTGCCTAGGACCATAATACCTTTTTCTTTTGCGGATTTACCATCATTGTTTTCGTGGACCAAGATTTTTGCCATGTCCATCAATTCCCTACATGGAAAGTCACGGAAAAATTACACATGGCACATCATTTAAGTAAGCTAAAGAAGAGATCACTAAATTCCACGTGGACAAAATATGTGCTTTTGGTACACGGTACAGGACAATACAAAAACTTATTGTCCTACATTTGGCGCGGCATTAAATTGGGGCATGACATGACCCGAGTGAGACATAAATGCATTTTTTCTGTCCCATCAAAATAGGTGGAAAAATAATCATGGAGATGAGACAAGGTTGGTATATTACTAAACTATCCATGTCAAAATTAAAACCCTAAAACCTTCCCAATCCTTTCACCCTGCCTAACTCACCCTCGTCCGTCTAGTCCTATTCCCTCCAGATATGTGGATTGGAAATTATGCCACTTGTACCGCTTCAAGATGTTTTTTGATTTAGAGGATTTCACTGCCCATCATCAAATAATCTTTATGGACCCGTTTCTTTGTCCGTCATCTTGCAGACTTATGTGTGGAGATAATGGCGAACCATCTTTGGTTTTGCCACTGTTGTGTAATTCCTTTTTCTTGACCTGGATGATGCCCTTTTAGCAGCAACAGTTGCTGCTGCTGAGGAAGTCGTTTTAGGTCACAGTTTCATTACATCTGTCATGTGTTAAGCCATGGACGGAGCGACGTTAGAGCGAGGGAGAGCACATGCTCCCTCTGAAACCTTCAATTTTTTAAAATAGATGTATCATATGTAGGCTCAAAACCCAATTTGTTTACAAGTGAGTGGACTTTCCCTCCTGAAACCTGGGCTACCTTAATTCCATGGCAACATTACTTGATCCAACTGTATAATAATCACATAGATTTGTTGAATTACTTTTATATTTTGCAATTATGTAAATTTGTTTTGAATTTTCTTTCATTATTTTTCATGTGTATAACTGGTAGATTAATTTAACATTTATATATTTATCAAAGAGAAAAATAACTGATGACTGACGTCAAATAAGAACAATGTTAATAGTTGTTTCTAGTTAGGGTGTTAGATTACAGTCATAATATTTGAGATGAAATCCATAGATAAGTTTCAGAAAATGAAACTCGTCTAGATCACAGTTGAATCTTATTGAGGTCGCGGTTTTATTAATATAATATTATACCATTGTTTCTCTTATTTTCAAAGTAATATCAATTTTTTTTTTCAAAATATTTGATTTATCCATGCACCCACTCGTATCAAATCCTGGCTCCGCCCCTGGTTAAGCCACTCCATAATCACATCTTTATGATTTTTGAGCTCACAGACATAATTTATTAAAGCTATATATATATGGAGGTTCAGGGGAACACCCTAATAACCGTTCATCTGTACGATATGCATTTGTGCATACAAGTAATTAAAGATGTTTTCTGGTTTCTATGCACGTGTGCATGTTATGCACATGTGCATACTGGAAAAATTACTTACAAATTACTTGTATGCACATATGCATTACCATACAAATGAATGGTTACCAGGGTGTTCTTCACTTTTTCATTTTTTGTGGTTTTCCTTGAACCTAAACTTATATATATATATAGGGTTGGGTTCACGTGAGACCAGCCTGTTTTCGTGAGACCCGTGAGACCACATTTTTACACGTAAACTTCACAGCAAAAACACTGTGAAAGTTTAAAAAAAGTCGAACCTTCACAGCAAAAACACTGTGAAGGTTTTAAAAAGTCGAACCTTCACAGCAAAAACACTGTGAAGGTTTTAAAAAGTCACCTTCACAGCATTTTGTTGTGAAGTTTCAAGTGTAAAATGCTGGTCTCACGGGTCTCACGAAAACAGGCTGGTCTCACATGATCTCAAGTCTATATATATATATATATATATGCATCAGGTATCCCCGAACACCCACACTTGAATTTGGCAAAAATGTCAAATCCATGTAAACCATAGATTCGTCCAAAACTGATAAAATCATGGTCCTGATGTGCATTTTAGTCCATTAAACTAGTGATGTGTTTTTTTGGTTCCGTGTATTTTAGTTTTCCACTTTTTCTTGTTTCTGGCTCACCAATATTTTGTATATACTGCCAATAGGTGCAAAAAGTGGTTTGGTGTCCCATATGCAAGCGTGGAGAGTTGGAACAGAATCGTCATCTTATCTTTTGTACGCTTTGTGAACTTAAACTCAACAGAGGCAATGAGGTCCGAATGACTTCCATCTTTACATCTCATATGATTTATTTGTTTCGGCTATTTGCTTTATCTCTTGTGCATATCCTTCTATTCTTTGCATCACATTTAGAAGTTGATCATAGAGGGAGGTTCACGGAAAACCCCAAAAAAATGAAAAATTGAGGAACACCCTGGTAGCCATTAATCTGGATGGTATGAACGTGTGCATACAAGTAATTAAAGCCGTTTCTTGGTTTTTGTGCATGTTATGCACATGTGCATACCGAACAAATTGCTGACAAGTTACTTGTGTGCACATGCATATATCGTCCAGATGAACGGTTACCAGCCTGTTCCTTAGTTTTTCATTTTCCTGTAGTTTTCCCCTAAACCTGACCCTTTGATCATATATCTTGACTAGATAATTAATACTCTCATGCAACATATAAATAGATACATAGTGTGTTATCACAATATTTGATTATTACTCATATCTCCTTGCCCTTAGATGATTTTGTAGATTGCTTCAATAGGTTGCCATGATTATGGGCAAATAGGTCATTTTAGCTTGAGATTTTTGCCAAAAAAGAGGACGTTGTAAGATATTACCAAACCAAAAAGACCCAATATGTCCAACCAAAAGGTAGGGTCGGGGGAAGATGTACAATACAAGTGGGACAAAAATAACAAAAATCAGGGAGATGAGACAAAGATTAGTAAATTATTAAACTACCCATGCCAAATTAAAACCCTAATACCTTTCATAGTTCTTTCACCTACTTACCGTCTCTCGTCTGTCCAATCCTGTCCTATCCCATTCAGTCATGTCCAGTCTCGTCAACTGTTGATGCTCCCTTCGATTTTATGTTTTTCAAGATCAAATTTTGCGAAGTTTAATGTTCTATGAGGTTTTCATAGGTTTTAGTCCATTCGACTGCCTAGCATTCTATCTTTACACGGATTTCACCTTGTTATCAAACTTGAATATTCGTTATGGCTCATGATTAGGTTACTTTGGAGTTTCTCCGGGATAGACTGGCCGAGGCTCATGGACAGCATTTCGATAGGGGGTGCAGGCTGAGCCCAAAATTCTGTATCCAGTCTAAATTTGGTATCACTGCCCTATACATGGAGTGCCAAGGTTGCAATACTTTTGAGATTGTAATTTAGCATCTTTCTTTTGTGGATTCTTTTGGAAATCCTTATCTGATCGAATATACTGAGCTAGTTTGGTTTGATTTACAACTTTTTTGTAAATGGATGATCCCTAGCTTCGTCCAAACTGGTCTCATGACATGGCATGACTGTAGGCTTCGCCCATAGCCCTGTTGCAAATCTCGGTGGTGTGTACTTGATGGGTTTTACTTAAATTTGATTACACTTGTACAAGTCTCTCTAAATTGTTTCTTTTTCTCAAATTTTCTAAACATTTGTACATCTCTTGTCGCCTCGTTGACATCTCTTTTCATATTTGTGAAAAGCATAAAACGGATGCTTTGTTGAAAATACAGATATATTACGGATGACACCAAGGGGTGTTCGGTTGGGGGTATTATGGGAGAGGGGTACCATCTATTGTTTGATGGATTTGTCTTCATATCTTCCCAATCTACGAACCATCCTGCCAGGGATTTATTTGTAATGATGTTTTAAAAAATGTTTAAACATTCGTTTTACAATATTCAATTAAAAAAGATGATATAATTATTTTTATAATTCATTTCTTATAAATTATCTAATAAAGAACGGAAATCAACTTCATTTCATATCCTACAAACCAAACACACTAAAGATTCCAAATCCTTCCATAAAATCCAAATTACTCAGGTACATTTTGTCGAACCAAATGCCCAATAGATACCAACGCTTTCATGTGTTTTTTTGAGTCGTTATGTGGATTAAGATTCAAGAATACCATTAAAGTTTCATTCTTTCTTACATTAATACTTTTAAAAGACAAACAATTGAAAGAAATTCGTTGTTTCAAGCAAAACACTACTCATGTTTTGACGTTAAAAAAAACTCATTTGATGAAACAAAATGTCCAAATAAAAACATCCAACCCAAACCGATAAACTATTCATACCAAAAGGGTTATATCCATTAATAAGTTGTGAAGAGTTTAACCATGAATAATCTCTACACCAGCCCGTCAAGTAGCGAAGACCATAGTTGCATCTTTTTGTCACGACACATTCAACGAAAATAACTTCAGTGTCAAGAAAAATGGGATGCACCCAAAGATTCAATTCATCCGAAATAATAATCATCCCGAAACTAATACACCGGGGTTAAAACCATTACAGTTTTTCTTTCTTCGTATCGGTAACAAATCAGGGGAAGCAAAGAGAAATTTGCGACTTTTGTTATGACTACAATCTTACTTACTATATGCATATGGTGATGGTAATGGCAACAAATATATTCCAACCTCCCAATCCGTCGTCCATAGAATCAAAATAGTATACACCAATATAAGAGCGTAGAATCCACGAGTCATGAGTGTTGGTTGAACGTATAGTTGTTTTTCCACGAAAAGTAACTGATGGGTGGACTTAAAAGAGTTCCTCTGAATTGAACTTGTTCCAAGCCTCCTGTTATCATATCAATCGAACCCATAAATAATGACACATCCCTATGCTCCTACGGTCTCGTTATCAAGAAATAAAATGCTTAATTGATAAAAATATTGTTGATTTTGCATTATCAAGCATTTTTTTTGGAAATAGATCGACTTCGCAACTTGTTTTTTGTATATCTGAAATACATGAATGCAAAAAGAACTCAACATTGTAGGTACATATTATTGTATCTTTATGATGTGATATTTAAATGCAAAAACCTAAATGAATTTTAATTAACATTGTAAACATGTTGACTGGTTGATGGTGATTTTAGCCTATGTTTAGCAAACTAATGGATAAACTAGCTGTTGGCGATAAACTAATTATTGGCTGAGAAACTAGCTGTTAGCTGAAAAGCTAGTGGTTGGCCAATAAGTAATAAGCTAACTGCTACTTGATAAACTAGTTACATAAATGAATTCTAATTAAGAATGTAAGAGCATCTCCAATAGATTCTCCAAAATATCTCTAAAATGGAGAAAGAAATTTCAAAATCTCTGAAACAAAAATACATTTAACTCCAACATATTCTCCATTTTGGAGATTACAACTTTGATTATATTATTAAATTATTCCTTTCAGCTAATAAAATACTCTCTAAATATTTTCGAAGTTTCCTATTGGTGGAAATATGTTAAATAATATTTCTCTCTCATTGTAATCATTTTTAGGATGTTCTCTAGATTTGGAGATTTTTACACTCTCTCCTACTTTCTCTATTTTAGAGAGGTTTTGGATAATCTGTAGGAGCAAAAAACATGCTCAAATCCCCAAAATCTTTATTTTCTCCGTTTTGAGGAATCTGTTGGAGATGCTCTAGCATGTTGAGTGGTTGGTGGTGATTTTAGCCTATGTTCAGCAAACTAGAGGATAAACTAGTTGTTGGCCGATAAGCTAGCTATTGCCTGATAAGCTAGCGTCGGCTAATAAGCTAGCTGCTAGTCACATAAATGAATTTTAAATAACAGTGTAAGCATGTTGAGTAGTTGATGGTGATTTTAGCTAGAGGATAAACTAGCTATTGGCTGATAAACTAATGGTGGATGAAAAGCTAATGGTTGGCTAATAAGCTAGCTGTTAGTTGGTAAACTAGTCATGTTTGGTAGAATCTAGGTTATAAGCTAGTTGTTAGTTGGTAAACTAGTCATGTTTGGTAGAATCTAGGTTATAAGCTAGATGACAAAGTAAAATAACCTAAAAAGACATAATAAAAATTAATTGAGAACATAAGGGCATAATTGGAAAAAACCCCCTAAAGCTTGATGAAACGCTACTTGAAGTAATTTTTCAAAAAGCTATCATATAATCTAACTTATGGCTAACCAAAGGAGTCCTTTTTAATAAACTCAAAAAATAAGCTAGCTTATGGTTACCAAACATGACCTTAGTCTTTGACCATCTTGGGTAATGTTGATTAAATAAGCAAGTACCTTAAGTATATCGAAGACCTTCTCGGCAACATATTTCTGTTGAAGATTAGCTCCTTTCTGTTGCACTTTATCGGGATGGATACACAAAGTTGCCTTTCTATATGCTTTTTTCACATTGGCACCAGTGATCAGATCGGTCAATGAAACAGGCTGCCACCCACATTCAGGCCAAAGAACCTGACAATAGATTGATAGGAGAATGAGAGGGATATAAGAATCATATAAAGATCTCAGCACTTCTAATTAACAATTTTTTAGCACAAATTAGAAGGGACTGGATGGGACGGCCGAGAGTGAGGTAGGCAGGTTGAAAGAATTGTGCAAGGTTTTAATATGACATGGGTAGTTTGGTAATTTATCAATCTCCCTGTTTTTTGTTCCACCTCTTTTGGTGGGACAAAATAAATGCATTTTCTCCCGCACAACCCTGTCGCACCAAACGTGGGACAAGCTTTTTATCTTGTCCCATCCTGTGTACCAAGCGCACATAGCACATCATATCCATATACTCACTGGCTGAATTTAGTAAGGTTACATGCTTTTTATTAGAGACTTATGGGGCGTTTGGATCGCAGAATGTTTTCTGAATGAGCGAAATCTGTCGAAGAAATTGTAATTTGAATGGAGTGTTGTTATCAGGTTCGACCAAGCATTTGGTTGGCAGGAAATGAAGTGGAATATGTCAAATGAATTGGAATTTGTTTGTTTGGTTTATAGAATGTAGCTTATGAATTGGAAAGAAATATTGAAAAATAACCAAAATACCCTTTATTTAAACCAAATACTGGTATGGAATTTGGTCAACAGAATTGACCATTCCAACCCCTTTAGATTCTATCGGAATCCTACGAACCAAACGCCTCCTTCTAGGAATCTAGCAGAAATCAATACAAATTTTTTCTGTTTATGGAGGTGATATTTTTTGTTACAAATGCATGTCAAAGAAAATGTTCACTGTAGAAAAGCATTTAGTTTGTCCCAAAATAAGTGTCCACTTTCAAAAGTGCCTACTTTCTAATTTTGTCCTACCATAGATGGAGAAATTCATTACTCCCATTATTATTAAGGGTAAAATTGTCACTTAGTTAATTACAAAGTAATAATTACACATTTACAATATTGTATGCCTTTATTGCTATGAACATCTATTTTGGGACCAAAGGGCCTTTGGCCTAGCGGTATGTGAGTTCTTGGCCTTCTAGGAAGTCAAGGGTTCAAACCTCACCAAAGGTGAGGAGGGTGTGTGAGTTTATTTGTTCTATTTGCCGTATATAAATATTATATACTTAAAAAAAACATCTATTTTGGGACAAAGGAAGTATAAAGTATCAGGTATCAGTCAATTACAAATTGCATAGGCAGGCAGCCAGTCTTTCATTCTTGGCCTCGTATCTATTTAGTAGATTTTTTTAAACTTAAAATGATGAAATGAAAAGACTTTTAGTATAGTAAATAACATAATGCAGTGTGCAGTGCCAGTCCCCACTATAATTCAGTTAAACGTAACAGCATACTACGAATCTATTCATTGTTAGCATCATATAAAATTAAGAAAATAATGTATTCAACCTTTAGTGCTCTAGTGATTATGGTTACACACTTACAGCTTTCAGGGATAATTTCAATATCATCAAGTATGATGAACAGTTAGGGCATCATGTTGCTCACACATCAATTTAAGTTCTTGAATTACATACAAAATAAAAGAACGAGATGAGGATGCATACATATTGTAGTGTGGATAGGAGCACACGCAAGTTTCCTTCTTTCCCTGCTGCCCAACGCTTGATTTCAGTATCTAAAGTTCCAGCAATCCTCTGAGATGAACACAAAAAAACAGATCAAGAACATGACACAGGTAACTTTAGTTATAAGATGTGGAGAAGGAAACATAATTTACAGGTAAGATTAGTTATTTTCGCACCAAATAAGTTTGCATTGTGGGGTAGAAGTCCAATTTGTCAAAAAGCAGATTGAGTTAACAAGAAACCATGTAGCTGAAGTTACTACCATGAACGCCTAGCTGCATCTTAGGAAATCTTTACTCCCCACAATTTGTTTCCCCCCCCCCCCCCCCAAAAAACTAATACCAAGATTAATGCATGTGAGTTTAGCTCCAAGGAAATATTCACATCCACAATATGCTCACTAATGCACACAAAACTGTCTATGAAAGATAAGAGAATAAACAGTCTAAAGAAGAGAACACAAAGACAAAATGTGGAATATCCGGGTTTGTTTGGATTTCAGAGATAACAGTTCACAAAATGTGAAACGATTACCAGAATAGTTAATGCCCATCCATCTGAAACCAAAGCAGTGGGTGTTCATTTTCACATTTATATTCTTAGAGATGAAGATAATTGAAAGTATAAAAATACAGCCAAAAGATGAGATGCCTGAATAATACTTACATGTCTTTCTTCCTGTTCCCTTTGAGATTGGAGATCACGCTGGTTTTTTTCAGCCAACGCTTTAGCCTATGCAAACAAAGCTCAATTGTGAGACTTAGAAGTCATTTGTCACATAATCATGTCACTTCAAACCATGTCATGCATGAATAAAAACAAATCATGAAAATTTTCTTTCCACAATGGCATACCGCACGCTCTTGAGTACGTTGCTCTCTTTCCAGTCTTGCTCTTCGTCTTTCCTCAGTTTCCCCTACAACTTCTTGGAATTGTGCAGCTGTAGCAGCTTTTGGACAGAGAAAGTGCTAGTGAGCAATAACACCAGACAATTAGTCATAAATGATCTCGACAAATTTAAATGGAAATATACCTCCAAAAATTGAGCTAAGATCGTCAACAATATTGGTGGTGGACGATGCTTTCCTCATGTTGGAGGATACACCAGCGGTGGAAGCCCTGTGGGCCCCTTCTGATCCCCGTCTGTTTTGAGATAGTAGATCAGCTGCAGAGTCCTAAATTGGGGAGCAAACATAGGCCCAGATATTAACGGAAGTTTCCAAATTATTATAAATTTATTTAACTATATGATACACAATTTACTACTCACTGAAGAAGTTTCCCTTGGTTTTGGTGCACTGCTTGGTCGGGAAGCAGTGCCAAAAAAGGATTCAAGGTCGTTATCATTCTTTTGTTGGTTCATCCTAGAAGCAGCTGCCCTTTCACGAGCTTCTGCAGCGGCTCTCTTTCTCGCCTCAGCAGCAACCCTTTCTACAGCAGAACGCTCTGCTCTACGTCTTGATTCTTCTTCAGCCTGTGCAACAGCACGTTCTGCTCTACGTCTTGATTCTTCTTCAGCCCGTGCAACAGATTGTTCTGCTCTACGTCTTGCTTCTTCTTCGGCCCGTGCAACAGCAGCCTTCTCCTGTGCCTCTTTCTCCCTAGCTTCCATGGTAGCCCTCTCTGCTCTTTCCTTTGCCCCAACTGCTGCTCTTTCACGGGCTTCAGCTTGTGCTCTTTGAACTGCAGCCCGTTCAGATTTTAAACGGGCTTCAACGGATGCTCTCTCACGTGCTTCTAAGGCTGCTCTTTCACGAGCTTCCCTCGTTGCCCTTTCTACAGCTTGCCTGGCCTTTTGTCTTTCAATCTCCCCCATCCTATCTTTTTCAAGTTGCCTGTGCTCTCTCTCTTCCTCTTCCTTCTCTCTTTGTTTTCGTTCACGATCTAGCCTGTCTCGTCTTAACCCTTCTTCTATACCCTGTTCATCTTTATCTGGCTGCACAGATTCTTTATTTCTAAAAGCCTTTGCATGTTCTCTTTCTCTAACCTCCTTTGCATGCCTAAATTTAGCTTCAGCTCTGTCCATAGCCTCCTTCATTGCAGCAGCAGCTAAGATCGAGTCCATTTCTTCACCTGATTGGGCATCAGCATGGTCGTCACCATTATTTGGCATCATACCAGTGGCAAAATTCTCAAGGTCATCTAACGGCGAAGATAGGGAACTCCTGGCCACAGGTTGGAATGGCCTAGGACTTCGAGAATTCTTAGCAAAATTTGGTGAAGAAGATGAATCATTAACAAAATTTCTGGAATTTGAACCTAATGAGCCTCTTTCAGGCTTTAAAATATGCCTTGGTATTGGAGGAGGGGGTCTTGAAGGTGGTGGAGCTCTAGTCGGTTGTGTGAACAGCGGTATCTCTGACACAGAGAGCCATACATCATCAGCTTGCTGGACAGGTTCCGATGTGGGAGACATACCCATCTGAGAACTTGTCTCCATATATGGTGGAGAAGTTGACTGATCAAAAGATCTATGATGATTTGTAGGAATTGCTGGAATGTCAAAAACGGTTTGATGAGATTCTTGAAAATCATCAATAGGCATCTCCTGCGATCGACTCTCAGAATATCTAAAAGAAGCTTTCTGTGTTGAATCTTTACTAATAGAACTTTGTGCGCTGTCTGTAGCCGATCCTTCTTTGGAAGGGCTCTTATCCTTTCCCCTGTTATTCATCTCATTTGTAAATATAGGTGCAGATTTACCAAAACCATTAAGGGGATCTATGTCATCAAACATACTCCCATTTTTCGATGATACTCTGTTTTTTCGAATCCTAGATTTACTAACACTGCCAATCTCTTCCGGTGGATCAGTGGAGAAACTCTGGTATGAATTAGCAGTGGTTGATGTAGACTCTAGACCCACAAACAGATCATCCACTGCATTAGAAGCTTCCTTTGTATTGGCAGTTGATTTTGGGGTAGGCTCTGAATTTAATCTATAAGAAACAAAAATTATAGAAAATTATAGAACAGTGGCTTATTCAAGTGTCACCGGTATGTTCTGCTACCCGTATAATTTGAGAAAAATAAGATTTCATAAAGATATGGGCAGCTAATAACTGAAAAAGAAAGCCTTGTGCTGGGAACTAATTTCAGCAAAAAAATAATGTTCCATTCAAGTAACGATCCAATTAATCCATTTCCATCTTATGTTTAGTTCGTTACTGACTTGGAATCCAGATCACAACATATTCTTTCTTAAATCTTGTGAAATTGAGATTGCTTAACTTCAGATTGAGCAAGCATGAACATCAATGTAAAACTTGTGCATCTACTTAAGTGACTAATCAAGAAGTAGTAAAGTACAGATAGCATGTTCAGGTTCATTTTACTGGGAGTTTATACCATGTATTTGATTTTGTTTACTATATTCTAACAGTGTTTTTCATTAAATTCGAAAGTACAAGGTGCAACCTTTGGAAACCAAGTATTTCTCCAACTCTTTGAAAAGTTTGCATGACCCAAGGTCTCCCCCACCTCCATTTGCAACATTGTTAATTACTCAGTTAGATAGCTTATCGAGCTTGTCCTTCCCAACAACATTGCACAAGAAAGTGAAATAAATATGGCGGAACTTCATTGACAACTAACACATAGAACTTCTCAAGTAAATATAGATAATCCAGAACTTGAGTTTCCAGTAGTACAAACTCTTAGTTTGACTTCAATTATTGGATCCATAGAAAAATCTAACAACATTAATGACACTTCTAAATTATACAGCTTTGAAACTGAGAACAAGATGAATCTCTTTAATATTGGTTAGTGTTTTTTTATGCCCAACATAGATCAAATGATAACTATGCATAAATCACTTATGAGGAAAGGAAACACAGCAACTAAATCGCAGATGAAATGAAGCATAGTACCTATTACTGGTAGCAGGATTGCCACTTCCAAATCCAGGGATCAGATCATCAAAACCTCTTGGACTTTTGGTACGATGATGCCTGGTTGATTCAACTTTCTCTGTTCGACCCAGACTCCCCATAAGATCATCGAAATGATCACTCTGTTGACTTCGTTTAGGCGGCGATGTAGTCATCGATGCGAAAATATTATCTTCGTATCTCGGCGAAGCAGAAGAAGACATCGATTTACTCTTCAGCCCTGGCAATCCGTCGAAAATGTCGTCATCATAAACCGGTTTATCGTAAACCGGCAAATTCAAAGACGTAGCTTTGCTTTTAGCTTCGTCATTATTCGAGGATGTTGAATTTTTGAAGATCGCGTCGTAATCAAAATCTGCCATAGCCGATGTCGACTTAGAGTTGTTAGTGTTTTTAGGCGTACCACCAAACACGTCGCTGAACATGTGATCCTCTTCAGCAATAGTTGATGATGAGAACGGCGGTCGACTACCCTCCGATTTCATCGGTGCAGATTTTCCTTGAGGCCGAAATCCGAAGTCTTTTGCCAACATACCAAACTCATCCATTTGATTCACCGGATCTGGCAACAGAGATGATGAATCTCAAATATGATCCGATGTAAATTATGTGTTACAAAGCTACTGATACACATTTGTTGAAGTCGGAAGTAACTAACCGGATATTTAGGTTTACGCCCGCAGACAACGGTGGTGATGGTTGAATTGACGACGATTGAACTTCACGGCGGTTGTTCACTTCTTATTTTTGTGTCCTCTGCTCGAGCTCCGCCGTGCCTTTGGTTGTTGGCTCCTCTTCCATTATTTCTTTGTTACATTTGAGTTTTTATCCTGTAATAAACACTATTTTCAAATCACATCCAAATGTCAAAAAGTATTTGGATGTCTTAGGTTTAAATTTAATGAGGAATACAAAAAAAATTGTGGTCATAAAAGTTTAAATGCGGTGATTTCAGACTATCTGCAAAGTAGATAGTCGTCTTGGGATTAGTTGGTTCGCATATCGGGTTGGATATCTAGGCTAATAAAAAAGCACTATTTTCATTTTATTTTTATTTGATTAAATTTTTTTTTAAATATTATTAAAATGATATAAAAAAAATTCAAAGACTGGGATCGGAAACAAAAAGGAATGTATCGGATTTTCAGCACGTACAACCATCAAACCAGAGACCAAAACAACGCTCGACAAAACAGAAAGTATCATAATACGTCGTCTTTCCCTGAAATGGAACTTTCATGTTGGAGCAAGAACGAGCATGAAAATCGATCTATTACAATGAGTGTGGTTGTTCGTATTTCATTTTCTTCTTCCAAGCCCTTCTTTCTTAGAAAGGCACTCACTGAGTTACTTACGGAATCTAAAATCTTGAGGCTGATTACGGCCCTTTGTATGAAAGGTAAGCGTTGTACTGGTAAAAGTCACATTTTCACTTATCTTATCATGTAATATTTTTTATCATCAAAAATTGATTGTTGAAAAGTATTTTTTATCTGGTAAGTACTTATCGGGTTAGACTGTTTGATTGGTTTTTCATTAATTTTTGTATGAATAAAAGATATATGTATGAGTTGATTTTTGTTTGTATGGATTGAAAAAGTTTTTATTTGACAAAGTCTTTTTTTTTCTTTTTCGTTGGAGCATGTTTTTTAATTGGGAGGGACAGATTTGGAAAAACTTGACTTTCTGCATAAAGCTATTAAAGGGGTGTTTGAGATTGCTTATAAAAGCTGTTTTTTAACTTATTTCAGTCTGACACCGGTAATAAGTTGTTTTCTAGTGTTTGGATAAGAAAAAAACTGCTTATACTGGTGCCAAACCGGTAATAAGCTGTTTTTGATAAGTTAATTCTTTTTTACTTATGAAAAACTGGTTATTATCAGTTTACAATTTTAACCGTGTTTTATTTAACTCCGATTTAATACCACATAAGTTAATAAGCACTTTTACAAAAAAACATAAGTTGTTTTAAATAAGCAATCCCAAACAGCCCCTAAAAGCTTGTTGAATAATCATTGAATTCTAACAAAATTTTTAATTATTATCCTTATAAAAAATCATATTATTAAATCAAAAATAAATTACTTTGTTATTAAATATAAACTAAATTATTATAAAAAAATTGAATTAAATAAATTACACAAAATCAATAACTTTTAAATAGTTAATTTGATAATAATATTGATATATTCATTTTCGAAATTCTATGATATTTTCAAATTTATATTTTATTCAAAAATATAAATATTATCCCCTTCTTAAAGCCACATAAAAACCGTATTATAACATCTTCAGATAAAGAATAAAACGAAGCATTAAAATCGAGATATATCTCGCTACATTGCGCGAATACTTCTAATATAATTAATATGCAGTCTTTAAAATAAAAAAATCTATTATTTATTTTAGAAATAAGGAAGTTATCCTAATCTTTCCTCTAGTCAACATTTGTGGCTTCAACTGTGAATCATCAAATAATTCCTCCCATGGGTATGCGAAAGATAGAGAAGTGTTTTGTAACTTTTACAAATATGCGGTAAACGAGTTCATATATGTGAATCACACGGATTCACATATGAACATATAGTTCATATGCGAATTACATGAATTCATATATGAACTCGTTTGCCGTCTATTTGTAAAACTTACAAAACTATCCCCTCTATTTTTCGTATAACAACAAATTTTGGTTCGTCAAAATCGCAATTTTGACTAGTCAAATCCGATCTTGACCGTATGTAGGGCTAAGATCATTCTTTACTTCTCAAATATTTACATTTCTCAAAATAACAAATAGCTATATAAATGAGACATTCTTTTAAGAACTTGTTAATTTGTCAGATCCAATTTAAATCATAAAAAATTAATTAAAAAAATAAAATAAAAACCTCTCCCTCTTTGTAGCATCAAATGCCAAAATATGCTCAAATTTTATATTTTTTTAAAAACATGCTTACATTTTTTTACTTTTACTTCAACAATCCTTTTTTTAAATAATTTAAAGTAAAATACAAATTTGGTCCGTATGATTTATCGAAGATAACACTTTTCATTCGTATTGTTTTGAAATTACAAGATGACAATTGTGAATTTAAAATATTTTGTTAAGTAAAAGACATTTTTGTCCCTAGATTTATGCTTTAGACCAAGGATTTCATGATTTCATCCATGGAGATCGAAGTCGGGTTTTGGATTTGTTTTTGTTTTCGGTATCGCCAGCAAGACGATGAGCGGATATATATATATATATATACACACACATATACACACTATATTATAAATCATTTGATAAGAACTCCCAAAAACCATTTTTTGCATGAAATATTGTTTATTAATTAATATTGCTTAAATTTTAATATTACAAGTAAACTATGCATAAATACAACTTGTTAAAATTAAATTTAACTGAATCATGTGTATTTCTGTCCAGATTCCAGATAATCCAACGTTCACATAATCAGATCTTGGCTTTCCAGTTGGGAAAGAACGTCGATGGATCGTTTTGTTGGCAGGGATTGTAAATCTTGATAAACTAGATTTCGTATTTATAAAAAATACAATAAAGAATTAGCATCGAATAAAGAAACAAAAGACAAACCACACAAAATGGATTGTTTCATAAAATGAAATGAAATGAATTTCGTAGCAGAATGTGTTGATACGAAAATAATCGAAGCATAACTAAAACAATGATGCCTATCAGTTCAAATACACACACGGCCCCTAACTTATCTGTATTACAAGCATAGACAAGAAAAAAGCTTTTATTTTTTCCTTAACATCCTAATCTCTAAAACCAAAACAGTTATAACAAATATTCCAAGAACGACTCCGTAACCGGCATTCCATGAACTTCCTGCCTTAGCCAAATGGATCCCGTAGAAAATATTCACAATGGCAAACGTAATGATAAGTCGTCCTACAATGTAGTGATACCAGTTCCAGTATTTTCTTGTTTTTGCATCTATAGATGGACGGGCCATGAAAGCTAGAACCTGTAAGAAAATAACATTCATGATTAAACGACTGAATAATGTGTACTGAAAAATAGAAGGGGGTAAATTGTACTTATTAGAATAATCAAGGGCCTTTCATGTCAATAATCAAGATATATTTATTTTGAGATAAGAGAAATCGGGAAAAGGGATAACGTAGAAACCTGAAGACAACCCAATACGAGAATGGTTATGCCAAGTCCTTTGTGCTTGCCAACACTGGCATCGAGACGGCCATCTAAAACAAGCCCTGCAATCACGCCTGATAACCCAAGAATAAACCCTAATGATTGAACGCTCGTGTGCACGTAAAACCACAACGGGTCCAAATGCTTGAAATAACGAGCAACCATCACGCCAACTGGGAGAAGTATGCCCCATCCAATCATGTTTAAGATTCCATGAGCCCTCTTTAAATTCGAGTAAGGAGCCTTAATTCGACTTCCTTCACCTGTCATCCCATAAAAACATACAAAAAATATCAGAATATTAAACAAACCACTTAAGAAACTAAAATTTAAACATCGGATCATGTTACTTTCACTCGTACATCATATATTAAATCTTGTATTATGCGTTGGATTTGGCTTTAAAAAACATGTATACGTCATATTCTTAGTTAACACTTAACATTATAACTGGTCCCGATCGGGTCCATCCCTCGAAACTCTCCAAAAACATATATGGTCCCAATCGGCGGTCCTATAACCGGTCTTTTGCCGATCCCGGTTCCAGTCCTCCAACGGTTTCGGGCCGGGCCGGTTTAGCCATCACTTAGTGAAGTTAGACAAAGGCAAATTGGGTCATTTGGCCTCCTTGGCCCACAAAAAGGCCCAATAAAAGAAGTTATTAGATAGGTGTCAATGGGCCCACTTCACCTCTTAGTCTCCTACATTTCTTAGCTCAAAGTCAAACCTTGGTAGAAATATTCTAAGCAACTATCAACAACTTGCCCCAAAAAGTCAAATGGATGTCAATTAGAAAATAATTTGGGTATTTCATGTTTTTTATAAAGTGGATGATGTCATTTTTGAATTCTTGACATCATCATCATATTCTGTTACAGATAGTTAGATACTGTTAATTTATATAAGAAAAACTTTGTCTGATTCAAATATGTTGTGTAATAATAATACTGATAATCTGACATATTTACTATGAGACAACTTAATAAAGCTGACTGTAATAATTTTAAAATAGACTTACCAGAGGCATAATCCAAACGGAGTGCAATCTGACTTCTATGTCGAGTCAAGCGAAAACTTGGTGTGCCTGGAGGGGGACTGCTGCTGTCCCCAACAGCATACACAAGTCGTTGCCTTGGTTGGTTTGTAACCAACTGAAACGCCATGTATATCCGAGCCGATTCCGAAAAAATAGACGACGTGTTTCCCACGATTTGCAAGTCTCCCTCATCTGCCAACACTTGGCTTGGGGTTTGACCGCCAAGGAGATACTTTTTCATGTTGGTTGAGCCACCTCCCACCCAACCTACGATGGCGCTGGACCCCACCATGCCGCCATTGGACGAAAATCCCATTCCTACATAGGAGTTCGTGCTTGGTGTCGACAAGACAAAACTCCATAAACTTGGACCCGCTTGTCCATACTGAAACAAGTAAAAATACAAGCGTTGATCACTTTTTTTAAGGTTAAACTGTCGACGTATTTTCACCGATACTAACATGATAACTCATTGGAAAATACTGAATTATTGTTTTGTACCTATGTACCTTCTAGAAAGTCCTTGGAAAATACAAATAAATTCCAAACCACTAAAAGAACCCTAATAAATCATCAAAAATACTTGGAAAAAAGTCTCAAAACTTTTGAACAAACGAAATAACTAAAGATCCAAAAATCGATATTCTTATTCAAAAGTTTTGAGAATTTTTTGCAATTAATTAAAAAAATATCAATTCTTTTAGAAGGGTATCCCGTGATATCACGTCAAAACTATTCTCAACAAATTGCAAACTGTAAGACATCAGCTCTGATAAAATCAGTGAACACAGTTGTCATAGACGTCTGTAAGCAGATGAGATATTCCATGGACCCACAAAAACACACATTAACACACACAAAGAAGGCATGAATGAAGAGATGAGAGAGAGAGAGTAGTACTTACTCTAAGAATGAAGTTTTCAGAAGACCAAACAGGGATACAATTGAGAGAAGATGTGTCAAAGAAGAATTGGCCATTGAGATTGGCAAGATTTGAGTTACATGAATCTTGGGATGGTGATGGTGATTGTGATTGTGATTGTGCATGGATCATACATAATGATGCATGATTACTTGCTAAAATCAACAACAACAACAAAAATGGAAGGTTGATGATGAAGAATCTCATCATGGGTATTTTCTTGATCATCTCTTTCTCTCTCTAGACTTGTAATGATGATGATGATGATGATGATGATGATGATGATGATGATGATGATGATGTTTCTCTCTCTAGAGCTACAATATGATGATGATGATGATGATGATGATGGTGGTGATGATGAAGAAGAAGGAGGGAGAAGTAGTGGGTGGGTGATGGATGATGGATGATATGAATGAAGAACATGGTTGAACATATGTATGTGTTTTGATGATATATAATTAGGAATAGGTGGGGTTGACTTGGTTTAATTGTTTTTTTTTTAAATTTAATTGATTATTTATTTAACCCTTTATTATTTTATTAAATACCCTTAATTTAAAATAACATAAAGTTTAAGTGTTTTTAATATTTTGTATTTATTTTTTACCTCACAAAACATACAATCAATCATATTTACACTTCTTTTGTTTGTTGCAAAATTAATAAAATGCAAATTTACCTTTTTGTTAATAAAAATCAATAATTCAGTCTTGTTATTGGCCGAATTTTTCATTAAGTTAAATATTATTTTTATGGGTAAATTGTTGCATACGATGATTTGTTTATGAACTAAAATCTTATCTGATAAGGTACATAATTACTGTTAATCTTACCGGTAAACGTTTACCCGATAAGTATTTGGATAAAGACCCTGAATATGGATATCAGATACATGTTGACTTATCTGATTCAATCATTTTCGTTATAACTGGAAAAAAATAATTCCATATGAGGAAAAAGGACGGTTGCATATTTTGATTGGAAATAACAAGAGGAAGGCATACGACAACAACATTAAAATTGACAATTTGTTTCATTTATGCATTAAAAGTTGTACAATATTATCGATAGGTCAAATTTTCAAAACGATACGATAAACAAGGTGTGAATTTCAAGGGTATGTTTTGATATATGGAATAGGACAAGATAAACATTTGTTTTGGTGTGATATTAAGCGCATGTTTATAAGTAGCTTAATGAGCTTAATAAAATTCACTACTTATTCGTTCAGTTATACATGATTATTTGATAGTGGCTTAATGATATAGATTGTAGCTAATTCAGTAAGCTTATGGGTGGGGGTTATGCAGAAACTCAAGTTTTTTCGTTAAGATGAGAAACGTAAGAAATGATCATCATCCTTAGATGCACATTAAAATGAGATGCATCGAGATGCACCAGATAAGTCCTCATATCAAGCGCGATTCGTGGGTGGGTTTGAGATCAAAGGAGATCAAGGGTCTAGATCTCTTCTTACACTTCCCACCTTAACTCTCCTTTCACACGATCTTTCGCCTTAAGAGTTGGGTTCCGGTGAGAATAAAAGTTATAATGTGAAGAGTAAGAAGGGATGTCCACCCTTTGATCAATCCGAGTTAAAGATTTCTACTAGATCAACACTAATGAAAAACACCATATCAATTCTCTCCTAAAACGTAATTTGGGTTGGTTTGAGCTTAAAAATGAAAAGTTCAAATCCCTTGATCTTTTTTCGTCTTAACTTCTATTCTCACACGAATGTTTGTCTATATATTAATTTTGATATTTTAAACTAATTATTTCTTGATAATTAATATTAAATTTATTGAGATGTATATTAAAAAATACAATAACGTCTGAATGGATCTTGTTTTTAATCAGACGGCATAAAAGTTAGCATGGAATCAAGTAATGGCCGGTCCCTGCCGTTTGTGTGTCACATTTTATATTTTTAGCACCTAACATTTTCATGGTTCAATTCCCAACAAATTGGTTGATAGCTTCCAAGCAAAAGTTGATCACAATTAGAAAAGGGTTGTTATATATATATATATATATATATATATATGTGTATATATATATATATATGTATATATATATATATATATGTATGTATTTTATGTTAAAATCATGTGTAAAGAATATAAAGGAGGGAGGGGGTTGATATTGATGGTGTGAGAAGAAAATTACGGGTTGTTTGGTTGGTTTTCTATTAAGTCATTTATAGATAAAGTTGTCTGTATGGAATGTGAATTAATTTGTATATATAAATTGGAAAGATTTTTTTTTGAGAAGGTTTTTTCATATATGGAAGGTGTATGTTTTTTTCATTTGGGATGGATAGGTTTGAGAAAAACTTAGCTTTCTAGCTTTCTGTATAAAGCTTGTCCATAGAAACTTGAGTTTCTATGAGATTACGGCTTGCATAACGGGTTCGATATCCAGATTAATAAAAAAAAAGAACTTGAGTTTGCTATATTAGACTTGTTGGAAAAAAAGTTGGGCACAAACCAGACCTAGCCCAAACCTGCAAATTATCAGCTCTAAAATAACCAAACCGGATTTAGCATATCTCATTCGAAGGTAAGGGGCATTGTAAGGGATAAGATGTACATTGACCTTACCTCTCACTTGTTGCAAAATGCCAACATCACATCATATGAGAAAACACTGATTACAATGGTTTTGAACATCATACAAGAGGTTCATTTCCAATATATCTAATTGACCAGCACTTGTAATATTTTCTAATCTTATCAAGAAAAATGAAGATATAAAAGAATTCCATTGGAAATGAGGACAAAAATCCCAGAAACCTCCAAATAAATCTGAATTTTTGGGTAATTCTTGAGTTATTCAGAAATCTGATCTGATGGTAAATTAAAAACTGTTGCAAATCATGCATACGAGATCAACTTACGAACGGAAAAGTTTTGACCTGCCGAAGACTGAGGTCAGTTGGACAACAATGCATCATCGGGTTTCACTCTCCTGTAGAATAGAACGTATGCAGCGTTCGACTTCACATCATCTTCTGAAACCGTTGAAACATGGCTATCATCAAAGTTGTACCACTTGTTCTCGTTAATAAGCTGCATGTCACAAAAGTGAAAATAATCTTAGTTGTCGTTTACCGACACAAACTGGGTAGATGCTAACCACGTAGAGTGCGGTCTGGGTAAGTGCACACTGAAGCACCGACAGAGTCAAAAGGCAACCCCTCCCTTAGGGGTCAACATCTTGGTCAATTTATTTGTGGGTAAGAGTGTTTCGGTAAACTAACTGAAGCTGATTGAAGCAGCACCAGTCAGCAGTAGGTAAACAGACCCTTAGAAGAAATATGGCAAGTACAAGTAAAAAACAAAACTAAACGAACCCAGCAAATCTCACTCTGGGGAGGGTAAAATTTAGGCAGACCTTTCGGCCACCCTAAGGAGCAATGGCTTGCACATTTTTTTGTGTGAAGAAGGTTTCGCAAGGGTTAAAGAAAATAGGTGAAAATAGATCAACCAAATGAACCTAGTATATCCCACACAGAGTTGGGTTTTTTTTTTTTGGGGGGGGGGAGCGGGGGTTGTTAGGGTGTATGTTGACCTTGCCTTTACCCCAAGAAGTAGAGACAGTTACTGTGAAGACTCCGGGCTTGTAAAGCAGAAAAATACAAGGAGACACGTGAGAAAAGTAGCAATTCTTAGTACAACCTGAAATGGTATCAAGTATGCTCCGTCTAAAAATCAATGTCCAAATTTCTATTTTAGTTCGTCTAAAAATAAGTGTCCACTTTCAAAAGTAATTGTCAACTTCCCGATTCCACCTTCACACTGTGTTCTCGAGGTTTTTTTTTTTTTTTTTTATGTAGGAAGGTAGGGGGAAAGAAAAAATCTTGTGTTCTCGAGTTTTCTTTAAGGAGGGAAGGGAAAGGGAAGAAAAATCATGTTGATTTTCCTTCCAAAAATTTACTCTCAAATGTGGGAGGAAAGAAAAGGAAAAGAATTTATAACATTAAAAAATATTTATAAAATTACACATTTACCCATCAATTACATTCCACTATAATATAAGTAAGGGTATATTTGTAAAATAACATCTTTCCTTTCCTTTCTCTCCCGCTCAAGAAACATGAAAATTTATTTTCTTTCCTTCCTTTCCCTTCACTCTCAAGAACACAAATAAGAAAAATTCTCTCTTCGCCTTTCCTTTCTTTTCTTTCCTTCCAAAACTCGAGAAGACAGCAATAATTATGAGATGAAATTCATTGCTACTTGCTCCCTCTATTATGAAAGGAAAATTGTCTTTACTTAATAAAAAGTGTAATAATTACACATGTCTAGAACTTGTGAGACATTTTCATTGTGAACATTTATCTTGGGACAGAGGGAGCATATTGCTCATAGATATCATATGATCGACAAAGGAAACTCATAAACTAGCTGAAATTTGCAAGATTTTATCGTAAGAATAGAGCATGAAGTTATAAGATAGCCAAGAATTGTAAGAATGTGAAAACTACAGGAAATGAACAAACCTTGACATGTGCGGTATAATGCCCGCTTCCCATGCTGCCGTAGTGATTGGCTGAGGCGTAAAGTTCATATACTTGAGGATGAGAGTTGTTTTTGTTAGCTACGTATTTTGTCAAGTCAAAGTCACGAAGAGGGAAGTTGACAAATGTTTCTAGTTTATTTTTCACGGTCCTGCTATATGAGAACCTTTTTAAATGGATCACGAGCACCTCAGGAAGCCTCCAAAGATCCAACTTTTTACTTGCTTGCCTTCGTTCTTTGCATTGAGGGCAGTACCTTCACCGATAGCACATCAGAAAATCGTGGGATAATATTAATAAATAAACGAAAACTAAAGATACTAACAAATGGTTAACATGATAAAGAACGTTGAACTACGCTGGATTTTCCTTCTTTCTTTTGTTCTTTATTCTGAGGAGCGAGGAGGAGCTTATACTTGCTCTAATCCAAAAAAAGTGCTTGATATGATACTTAACTTGATTAAAATTGTCTGAGAGTATCTCCAACAGTTATGCTATAATTTTTTTAAAATAAAGTATCAAAAATCAAAAACTCTAAAAAAAATTACATCCGACTCTAACAGCTATTCTATTTTAGCAATTCTAGCATCAACTATATTATTAAATATTCAATACATATAAGAAAATATTATCTCTCTCCTAAACATTTAATTTCAATATCTCTTATTGGTGCTAAAGAATAGAATATTATTTCTCTCTCCTATATAGAGTTTTAGAGATTTCTCCAAATTTGGAGATTTTCACCTTCTCTTTCTTCTTTTCTCTATTTTAGTATACATTATAGCATAGTTGTTGGAGATGCTCTAGCTATTTGTCAAAGATCTAAAAGTACCCTTCAATAGAAAACAAATATAGGAATCTTGTGGATCCAAGCCGCTACCATCAACTTAGGGGGTGCTTGGTTCGTTTTAGAGAATGGAAATAAAAATGAGAATGCTTGGGGATGGAAATGGGAATGATTTTCATCCCCACAGTTTGTTGAGGAATGCTTCATTACCCGGTGCCTAGTAATAGGTCACTTCATTGCATCAAACCAGACACCATTAATGAATTCCATTTCCATTCCCTACCCCAACCCCCAACCAAGCAACACGCGCCCCCCTATTTGTAATGTGCGACGAATAGGTAATATCAATAAAGAAATAATCTTTCTAGAAAGCTTATTATAAACCTCAAGGCAGCAGTCAAGGAATTTATCAAGAAACAAGCACAAGTAAATTGAATGCTCCCTCCGTTCCAAAATAAATGTCAACAATGAAAAGGGCCTTACAGTTTTAGGAATGTGTAATTATTACACTTCTTAATTAACTAATGACAATTTTGGCCTTAATAATAGGAGTAATGAATTTCTCCATCTCGTAATTAAGGGTAGAAAATTGGAAAGTAGACACTAATTTTATGACACACTAAAATAGAAATGTGTACACTTATTTTGGGATGAAGGGAAGGGACTAAATGATAATTTTACCCTCCATCTCATAATTAAGGGTAGAAGTGGAAAGTAGACACTTTTGAAAATTGACACCTATTTTCAGACAAACTAAAGAAACATGGACACTTATTTTGGGACGGAGGGAGTAATAAATAATTTGAGAGAGAAAAGCTAACCACATGTCTTCAGGTACTAATGGCTCCTCACGCAGGAAAGCTTCTAAGCAGGAGTATAAAGACAGAGGTTCAATACGAGCTTTCTTTGTTCCATGCCCACTCTTGAAAACTTCTGGCAAGTTTTCTAGGTAATGCGTCTCGTATTTCTTTAAGAGTTCGGGTGACCAATCAATATAAAGTAGAACCGACACAGAAGATGAGGACAATCTTATGATTTTCTCTTCTCCAACCGAAATATCAATAAGGGTGTTGTTTCCGTCAACCAACTTTAGCGGAAGTTTTAGTATCGAATCACTGTTTTCCTTAGGTGGTGAATATGGTCTGTTACCATTGTTGACAGAAGATGGATTTGATGCTACTGATGATGTATTGGTATTGGATTTCTGATGTTTGAGCAAGGGAGAGAGCATTGTGTGAGCTATCAGCTGTATATCACCTCTTGTAATGGTTGCATCACTAGAAACCGGAAAAATGAGTGGTGTTCCATAAGGTTTCCACGTTGTGCTCCGAGCTTTGCTGGTTTCCCTAAGAACAGAAAAAGAAACGAAATGCTGAGAAAAGAAGTCCAAAAACTATTGAAGAACCTTATACAGACAAACAGTAACAAAAGCAAAATAAAAGTAGAAAAGAAAGGGGAACTCTTCAGATTATGGAACACCAACCAAGAAAGAAATAGAGTATTAGAAATTAATAATTATTACACTTTTTAATTAACTGAATGACAATTTTACCATCAATTATTACTCAAATGCCATCAAGCCTTAAATATTTGTGTCATAATAATAAAGGGTAGAATTGGAAATTTTAGTAAATTATAACCATCTATTTTTGAAGGCGGACACTTATTTTGGGACAATATTAAATGGAAATGTGGATACTTATTTTCAGATGGAGTAACAACCATCTATAGTATATTAGTCGTGTACCAAGAGGAGAACTTACGGCCCTTCACGGCGGTGGACCAACTGGAGATATCTAGTGTTTGTCATTAACTTCGGAATCTTGTAGGCAGTAAGGCGATCGTCATCTTTTATGACAGATAATGACATGAGAGGGTCTTCCAGAAACTGGCGAATCAAGTGGCCTTGTACCTGCAAAGAAGAGCTTTTTTTTTTGTAACTCAATAATGCAAGCATATAATTTAAGGGTCTGCTTGGTATCCAGACAGGATAGGACAGAATAGGACATGACAGAACAACTGTTCAACGTTTGGCAAGATAGAACAGATAAAATGAACAATTTACCCCTAATGAGTTGTTTATAATATTTTGATTAATTTATGTAATTTATTAAATTATAATAAAATAAATACTTTTTGTAATAAAATATATCATTAGAAAGTTCTCATAAAAACAATTAAAATGACACCAAAATGAAAAGTTTATGTAGTTTATAATTTTTATTTTATACATTTTCTATATTATTTTTTATTAGTAGTATTTAATAAATTACATAAATTAACCAAAATATAGAAACCGTATAAAAATAATATTTGAGGAAAGTAAAGTGAAAGTTTGTAGAGCATAATAATACAATAATAAAATTTAAAAAATGAAAAAAAAAATGAGGAGGGTGGTGTATTTGATGTTTTAGAAGAGAATTATGTTTTATTCTGAGGTTATATTGGTAAAACATAAGTTTGTTCCACCTTGTTCCATGGATGGGGGTGGAACACGCATGTTCCTGTGTATTCCACTGTGTTCCTGTTTGTTCCACATAAAAGTCATGCCAAATATGGAACGGTGATCCCTGTTATGTTATGTTCTTTCCTATGCACTTTACCAAACACACCGTCATTCACATGTTCTAGCAATCAGTAACAAAAGATAATATAGGTATTCACCTCTGCAAGCAAAATCTTTTCATTTTCTTTTAAAGAACAAACTCTGCTAAGTGCATGGATCAGATCTCTGCAACGTCCTTCTTTTGGTACAGTTACTGTGCACGTAGCAGGCATCACACTCCCATCACAGCTAAACACCGTCACCATCATGGTACGAGGAGTGGCGGATTGAAGCGGCAAGGAGAGATACATGAACGGATCAAATGTAACCGAGATCTTATCACATACAGGACAGATCAAAGTTGATTTGTACTGGCCCTGTCAAATGGAAAATAAAAGATAAATGACTCCAAACAAATCTGTATAGCTATTAGCAAGGAAATAAACATTATACCTGCATACAAGAATAAGAATACACTTCCGTTAATTTAAACTAGAGAAGAAAGCAGAACTTTGGATGCTAAGCATCTCGTTCTATATATGTCAAGCGGTCTTCGCTATGAAAAAAATCCCATCACTTCCTGTTTGATACTAATGGTAGTGAGCTACTGAGCTCCATATTTTTGCACATGTTTTCTTAATAGGCGTTCTCAATTCACATATTTTATAAACCAAGGGCCTGTTTGGTTGGTTTTCCATCAAGTCTTGTATAGATAACATTGTCTGTGTGAATTAATCTGTTAGTATAGATTGGGAATATTTTTGTTTGGACGGTTTTTTTATAATGGAAGAAGTGTGTTTTTTAATTGGAGTGGCAGGTTTGAAAAAATTGGCTTTCTCGCATAAAGCTCCCCCCTAGAAGATAACTGAATAAACCACTTTTTATGTATGGATTTAGGTTTTAAGTCGTCTATCTCAACATGGGAGAACTTGGTATAATGTACAAGCTAAGCTCATTGGCCGAGAAACATAAAATAATACAAATGATGGAAACCCTATTTATCTGAAACATAATGGAAATTAGCAAACATTAAATACCAACAGATGTCATGAAAAGTTAAAAACGATACTCACTTGGCAGACATCCACAATTATTGAATCATTACGAGCAATGTGGTTTGCCCAGTACTCATCAGCGACTTGTTCATCAGGTCGACCATCAGCATCTCTGGGGTTGATATAAGGCTTCTGTTTGACACGGTTCAGATCTTCATGAAGTCCATCGAGCAAAAATGCAAGAAGTTCCTGAACCAAAAAAGTAACATATTTCATCCAATGTATAGACCTGAAGTCATGAAAGCTCAATGTATCACAACAAACCTGAGAATCATGCTGATTGTGTCCACCAAATTGCGGTGCGAAGCGAGCAAGCTTTGCTTTAAATGTCCGAGGAGCAAATGAAGCTCGGCCTGGTGCCCACAACAACCTAAGCAACTCACCAAATGCTATAGCTAGCTCACCCTACATGTCAAGTGTTCAAAAATTTACCCTAAAGGACAATCCTCTTGCAAAATCGATCAGATCACACACTTATACCTTTTGCATACTATTGTAAATTTCCAATAGACACCTAAATTGTTGTGGTAAGAGCAACATCCACAACAGTATATGACAGTTTATGTTTATCAGAGGCGGACCCAGAATTTTTTTCAAGTGCTGGCACAATTTGACTATAAAAAATATCTATTTTTTTTCACAATATTGGTACAAATCTATTGGTTGGTTCCTTGTCCTTACATAGAAAAGACACATGCTTGAGTCCGGTCTACATATATTTTTCAGAACACAGAGGTATAGAAAAGAAAACCCAAATTTAAGCTAAAAAACAACAAATTTGACAACTGTGGGACTCGAAGGTAGAAGCATTTTGCCATCTTAGCCTTTAAAGTTGTGTGTTAACATTTGAGTTTCAAAAACTATATGGTGGCACCCTTCAGAAACGTAATTTTTGCCCTTTACAACGGAAACATGAAGTGGTGGCCCGTGCCACCGTATATATCCATGTGGGCCCGCCCCTGATGTTTATGCAAACAAATCTTGCATTATAAGCCTACCCTGCGGAAATATGACTTATTTCAGCTATATGAATTTGCAGGAGAATGGTTATTCACATGATAAGAATGAACATTGAAGCTTGAAATCTAATAGTGGTATAACCTGTTCTAACCTGCATTCAATGTAGAACGCCAGTGGCAGATCTACTGTCATTACATGAAGAGTACCAAGTTCATTTGTTCAACAAAGAAATAGAGACGATGTGTTAAATGCAATGAAAAAAGAGTACGTATGAAGAGCTTCAACCATCATAAAAGACACATGCAAGAATATTAAGAATTAAAAAAAGATAACAAAACAACACACAGTAAATAATCATGGACAGCTTAGAGGTCTTGTTTTGCCTACAGTAGCAAACACAGGGACAAAAGGTAGACAAATACTGCATCTAAAAATTGGCAAATATGTTAGAGAAAGAAGATGAGCTTTTCTGCAGCTTCCATAAAACAATTTATAAGCAGTTAGATTTGCAGAACATTGGATGAAAGTTCATTTGGGATTACTTTAGGATCATTGCTTGTGAGTTATGGTCGATTAGCTTCAATCGTTGTCTCATTTTTCAATATATTAAACAAGTATCAAGTGATCACGTGGGTAAACCATTGAACTCAAATGAACCTTTAGTAACAAGGACCCTCAGACACAACAATGGTTGACAATTCCCACTAAAAAGAACACTGATTTGAACCAAAAGTTAGAAATAACGATAAGATAGAGACTCAGCAACTCGAACAAAGTATATCACTTCTCCTTGATAACATGGAAACTTCATATAGCGTTGTGGCTTTTGTAACATTATTTTGGGTTAGAATTGAGACTTACCTCCATGCCTAAAGGGTTATGCCAGTTTATCTCTTGATAGAAATCTCCACGGAAATATCTAGCAAATTCAGGTGTATGAACAAGGCACTGTATTGCACTGTTCATGAAGCAGGTGTTTCCGAAATTCAGCAACCCAATTAGACCAACACAAGAACCCCTTGTACTAACACCAAGAGAGGTGGGTGTCCTGTCTGAATCTCTCGGTGCAAAAGACAAGTTTTGAAATTGTGACAACTCTGAATTGCAGCTTTTAGACACAACCTTGTCTGCAGAGGACCCTTCCCCAATTGAATTGTTCATCCTAGCCGGCTCGACAACTGCTATGGAGACGTTCTTTGTAGATCCATTCTCTTGAACAACACTTGTGCAGCCACCACTATGATCAATAACTTCCACTAGAATCTGTATTCAGCATGTTCACATACAGAGACAAAAAGCATAAAAAAAAAACCGCGTAAAAAGAGCATTAGAATTCTGCATGACTCACATGTTGTTGATGACAAATTAAATGTGAAACAAATTTTAAGCTAAAAGATAATGGTTCTAGAAAGAGTTCAAGTTCCACAGAATAAAGTAACTCACATCCTGATCCATCTGTATGTTAGCATCATCAAGCGTTTTATCTAGGTCATTCAACAAAATATGTTTCCGACAGCCATAGTAATCCCAAACATGTACCTACCAGAGCGACAAGAGAAGACATGAAAAATTAGGAAGACGCTTATTCAAAGTATAATCAAAAGGGAAAAATCCATATAAGACATCCTTTACTTTATCCGAATTAAGATCCAAGATCTGACAAGCCTTCCTGTGTAGTTCTCCAATCGTTTCCTGTCCAGAAAGATTTAACATCTTGTGATGTTCCTCAAAACCAGAATTGCTACATCTTTTCACAAAGCGAGATGAGAGGAATTATTTCAAGAATGCAGGAACTGGTTATCATATAATGAACACAGCTGTACCTTTCTACTCATTCTTATGGCATGCTGATCGGCCCCTGATTTCAAATGCAGTTGAAGCCGTAGAGGATAAACTTCTACAGTCAATTCTGTTTGTGATGAGCCACGAGTTATAACTTTTCGAGCCAATGCAGGACCACCACCATACCTGCAACCCATAAATCACTACTATGACTCATATATATTCCGTGAAAAATACTTATACAGACCTAGGAATCATTTTCGTTTAAAAATCGATTTCAGCACAGTGAACCATGCCTTTGAAAACCAAGAAGCCACCACTAGATGGCTATAGTCTAATAAAGGCAAGCTATTCGACAACTATTAATGACCTATGGGATGTCCCTACTTCGTAAAGCAAACTGTATGAAGTTCGCAGGTGAAGCATCCCATCTCACACAGAGGATGTAACAACAGCCTTATGAATATGACCTTAGTAATATAGTTTAGTTCAGGCAAAGAAACTGGGTTCCAAAACTTAGATATCAACACACAGGTTCTCTTAATGTACAGTGAATTGTTGTATCTATGCTTTAAGCAATGAGCCAATGACTGAAGTAGCTGAATTATGTCTTCCATATGGTTAATCACTTGCTATGAATGAAATGTGTTTCTTAAAACGAAGAAGGGAAAAGCATGTGAGTGTAAGGATCGCTAACCTCCCAGGCTTCATTCCTCTAGCTTAAAAACAAACCTTTAGGTTGCAGGTATCCTATTTATTTGATAAGCAATGATTTCAAGCATGTATTCATCCGTAAAGTTTAGTAAAGTAAATTTGTCAATGGTTCCACAAAATGGTAACATAAAATACATTATGGGTTCTATTACAGACGGACTACGACTTGTTTAGGTGATCATATATATTGCAAGCTTTACATTGAAGTCTATGAAAATGTGAATTTATAGGAGTCACTTATCAAACTTTTGGCTAGTCCTCTGATGTAGATGGTGAGGACATCCATGGGAGAAAAGATCTCAACCCATCAAAAGGAACTACTGACAGCAAACCACCAGAAATATCCCCAACTTACTTTAAAAGCAATAGCAGAAGCTGCAGATGTAGAATCCTTTTTAGTACCAGTAGCAAAGTTCTTACTTGCATACGAGAACTTCTAGGAACAACAAATAATCAGAGATACAATAAGATAATGGCAAAAAGTTAACATAATATGCCTTACAGTCAAGTCGCCTTATAAAATCCAGTTGGTGTAATCTCTATCAACTGCTTCCCCTCTTACATTAATCTTCTTGAGTTCTTGGTACAACTTTCCCTTTGTCACCAGTGCATCTAAATGCTTGATTTAAAGATATCATTTTGAAGAAAACCTTTTTTCTAAATATCTTCTTTTCCTAAATTTCAATGGGATAAACTATTGTTTATACTGCTAATATTTATATTTACATTAAATGACTAGAATCCTATGTTAAAAAAGCTCTGGTAATTCCAGTAGAGTCAACATCTTTGTTATGAAAATATCTACCTTTCTGTTCCAAAGGCACCTACATAATCATCGGATAATAAAATGACATTGAAAGAGAAAGAACTTGTGCAAGTTCAAACTAACCATGCATAAAATTGATTCCAGATTTCTTCTGGGACCAATATGTAATCAGTGCCCTCCACTAATGTATCATAGATCTCAATAGTTGAATTATCAGATGCTGATTCACAGATCAAATCGGAGTTGTCAATGCTTGGTGGTCTCTTCAAAGTTCTTGAGCCGCCTGACTCCAAAGATGATCCCTCGTTTGTACTAGTTGCCGGGTTATGATTCACAAATGCAGACCAAATTCGCCACCATCTGTCAGAAAACAGTATAAATATGATTAAGATTCCAACTTACTGTTACTAATGAAGTAACTGGACAAACATATGCCAGTTGAAGCAAAGAATAAGCATGAAAAAAAAATGATACATTGAGCACTGAATTCGCATAAAACAGAAAGAAAGAAAAAAAAAGCTGAACTGAGATGTTAGGATGAATTCGCAGACAACTATGGCTCTTCCCATATTCTATTTTGAAGATTTGTCCTTCCATATGTTGATATTTGGAATCTACCTTCACTTGTGAATGATATGCTTTTTAAATAACAAGAAGCATTGTTTTTCCCAGTAATGAAGATAAAAAATACATCTCAAACAAACTTTTTTACATCTTAAGAAGATGCGTTAGTTCATCACAGAAGAAAAAAAGAAAACGACAAAAGAACAAGTCTTGCTTTTCTCAACAGGTAATGCTGAACCACTAATGCAGCTGCTCTAACACAATGGCTTTGGCTCAAAATTCATGGAAAACAACATACTCTATGAAAATGGTGAGTCCTGTCTATTAGTGACATATTTTGTGTGTATGAATAAGTTGGGGCTGTTTAAAATTGAATGGCATCAGCCGCCAAGTAACCAAAACATGCAAGTTTTAGCATGTAGCAAAGATTACACTAACCAATAAATACTTGGGATTCTCTCACAAGCACTTTGAAGCATGGATTTAAGTTCCATCTATAACCAAATTCTTCTTAACTCTCATCTTCCTTACATATTGCAACAAAATTTTAAAAATCTAAAAAGTCTCCATTAATGCACTTTTATACCAACTCTGCCAGTACATTCTTGCCTTAATAACTTATCAATATATATAATTCCCTCTTTCCTTGATATACTGTCCCCTTTAAGCAAGATCCAATTCTTAATTCCTGATTAACATGTTCCTCAATTCCACTAAATTGCTATCTTGGGAATTAACATTGAATGTGGATACCATGAAGTTCCCAAGTTCACAATTGATGTAACATACAATCTTACAAGTCTACATCATATTATATTTCATACCATAGAAAATCACATGTGAAGTACTTCACCACATCCAAATACATTTATCGATGCTTGAAAGGTGAGGTTAAATTTGTCATCTACGGCTTCAGAAACTATCTACTTTGCACTTCTTCCTGGATCCAACACACAACTGCAACATATGGAATTCATCTAATGGAACCCCACTTACACATGGATTATGGAATAAACTTCCTGAACATCAAGCTGAAACACATAAAACACTGCAATTTTCTCACTGGAAAACTGGATACTAAAACCTTAAGTTTTTTAGAACCTCTACATTCTAACGGAAATGGATCAAGAAATTCAATCATCATCTAAAGAAGTTTCTATGTAGTAAAAGCTACAGGATTCAAGAGGCGTATACTAAAACCCTAACTTTTTAAAACATCTACATTCTACCGGAAAAGGATCAACAAAGTCAATCGCCATCTCAAAGGGTCTATACATGAACTAAAAGACATAGGATTCACAACAGATGTATATGTATTGTGATTACCTCCAAGAAATTAAATGATAGGTATCGCCTTCTTTGGCTTGAGCTTCGACTTCCCATGCAAAACCTGATATCACTCGTTTTTCTTCCTCTGGCGAAAGCTCCGTCAAACTAACATCTTTTGTCAAAATCTCCGTCATGCCTTCACTCCCTGACATGCGTAAATTTCACGAAGATTTTTGAGCCAATTTTGAGGATCGTCTCTCAAAGGGTGTAAATCTTTGAAGAGGCAGGGTTAACTTATAACCCCACCATAGCCAATTTAATTACTCTCTCCCTTGCAAGAAAATATAATAATCCCTGCGTCTAAAAGAATTCCACATTTGCTTTTGAGTGTCAATATATTATTTTTATAACTTAAAAAAATCAAAAGAACAGGTTTGCTTGTATATTAGAAAACCAAGCCTTACATCAAATGATGACAATGTATTACAATAATAAAACATTTTGAAATGAAAACACTAGAAACAAGTCAACAACCATGTTACTTTTTGAAATTTGAAATTAGAAGCTCTGAATTTTCAAAAGCATAAGCGGATTCTTTTTTTCTTTCTTTTTTGACGGGGTGACTAATAACATAATACGCTATCTCCTGAAAATTTCAAAACCGACCCCATATACATTTTAGTAAAGGTTTTTTACTGTCAACCAAAAATTTTAGCACTATAGTGCCCCAAGCCCAAAGCAGATGGGCCTAAAGCCCTAAACAGCCTCCAAACAACGATGCCACAGTGGGAAGTAATTAGTACCCATTGCCAATGGTTTATAAGAGACTCGTTATTCATAGTCAAAATAGACGTGGAAATGGATGTTACAAACCCTGTACTTGAATTCTTGCAGTCTTCATTAGGCCTAGAGAGAACAATCCAAGAGGCAATCTGAAAAACCAAACCTATGCTCATATACCCTTTGCAATGTCCCAAGCCCAAAACAAAAAACTAGCCCAAAAAACCTCCAAACTATTAGTACCATGGTGGGAAGCTATTAGGAGTCTACTACCAATGGCTCATCATGAAATCTTATTTATAATTACAACAGATATAGGGTGCAATGCTACATCGATTGTAACATAATATAAGAAAAGGTGTTGTAAATGAATCAAATTTCCAACTAAAGTAAGCTTGTGAACTTCCAAAAAGATGGAAAAAATATTGCAATTAGTATTGAACATCCAAAATAATAAGCTTTTCTATTTTCATGAGATGGAAGAGCTATCAGATCATTTTAACAGTATTTACGCAAATCTTTCAGGTGATCTTCAGGATTGTTTGTATGTCGGGGTGTAACGTTTTGGAGGGGATAATTTAGTTTATACCAGCCACACTCAATTTTACTACTCTCATTCCAAAAAATTAGCATTCATTACATCTCAAATTTCCTGGCATTTGCCTAAATAGTCGAATAAATTATCTTGGGAGAGCAGCAGTACAGAAGCTCTAGCCTATAGTTCTAGCCCACGCAACAACCTATAGTATTTCATAATTTTGAAAGGAAAAAAACAGATTGTATAAATAAGAATTACTATTACATTAAACTATAATAATGTATTATAACAAAACACTTCAAAGCAGAAACAATAAAATCATTCATGTCGATTCTAATTTAAAACTCAGAAGGTTTGAATTTCAAAAACTACAAGTTAAAGTAATAGTCCCTCCATCTCATGGAAATTCAACAATTGACCCCGCATGTCACACATGTTTGTGATGATGAGTATCGGACAAATAGATAATTTAAGCTTGTAAGTTTTCCAAAATAATTGTATTTAATATGAAACATCACAAAATGGAAAGTTTTGCTATTTCCATGATATGGAGAAAGTATTAGGACGTTTTAAATTCGAATTATCAGAGTATCAGGCAGGTTGCTATTTTACTTTAATACTGTTATGATTTCTAAATTCTCCTAAAAAAGTATGCTTTCTCCCATAAACCTTCCTTCACTGAAGTTTAGCTCTTTTATCTTTCTTGTGATAGCCACATCATTCACCATAAGTGATACAAATCAATAGAAATGTTTACTAACAAAACCTTACTGTGTTTTGCATTTGGCTAACAAATGGTTCTGGCATCAAATATTGATGTATATTTGTTTCTTTAAGATGATGGAGTCATAATTTTATGATCCACGTCTTTAGTCGTAGGTAAAATTTCTATAGAATCTTTTGTGTACCTCCTCCGAACAATAAGAACAGCAAGTGAAGTGAGGTTTTAGGCCAATAAGGGGACCTGTAGACAGCTGAGATGGAAGAAAGGAAGCTGAGGCCTATATAAGGGAGTAGAGTTAGGGAGCCAGCAAATAGATTACCAAAATCCTAAGATAGATTGGGGGTTGTTTAGTTTCCTTTGCTATGTTATGTGTAGTTGCATCTTATCATTGTGGAGTCGTTTGCTTTTAACTAGTCTTACTTCTATTCAAATTTCGGGGTATCTTCTTTTCTTACCTCAAGTTTTTCTCTTTCAATTTCTTTTTCTTGTTTTTAGTTCTTCATACTTCTTTGGACAAGCTTTTTTCCTCTCACACATTTTTCACAAGTCCAGAGTCTTCATGGAAACAACCACTCTACTCCTCGGGGTAGAGGCCAAGTCTGTGTACATCCCACCCCCTAGACCCACCCCCCAGGTGGGATATACTAGAATGGCTCGTTTTGGTTTATCAAGAGCATTCAAAATATCAGGTTTTGCTATTGAATTGTAAAATCCAACAAACCAGATTGGTCATTTTTACAATGCATAACTTTATGAACTAATGCAGCTTCCAGATGCCAATAAGATTTACATTAAGACTGCACTTGACTCGATGACACAAACCCAACCTATATATCCTAGAGGCTTCAAGCCTTTTAAGAGGCAATTATGTAGGTCAATATGGGTATGTGATCATATTTAAGTTAAGGGACTCTCTAAGTTAGAGAGAAGAGAAAAGTGCAAATAAAAAATTGGCAACAAGTAAATAGCGCAAACGACAAAATGTAAATAGAAAACAACATTAAGAGCAAAAAGAGAAATACTAAATGATGAATGGAAGCTAAAATTACAACTCTATTTTGAGGCTAGTCATCGAAGTCCAGTGGTCAATATTGAAATTCTGAGAGCAATGACCAAGGGGATACATAAGTCATAAACCAACATGTGATTTCAAGGAGAAAAAAATGTATCAATTAAATTCAAAGAAATGAAGATGGGAATAGAAAAAATAGAAGAGAAGAATGAAAATTCATATTGGGGTTTACAGTGATATAAGAGTACAAAAACGATCTCAAAGGAAGAGTTGAGTTTGTGTAAAAGATCTCACTTTTTAAGTCGCAACTGCAATTAAGAGATGCCTAAGCATGCCCAACTTCAGAACTGAACTATTTTTTTATTGGTGGGGAGGGAGGTAATTAAATAAAACAATGTAAAGCACATCTTCAGCTTGCCTAATAAGCCACATCACAGATAAGTAGGCCACTGAGTGAACTGAATCTTTTCCAGTCTCCAAGACTAGATATACGTCAGCCTCTGGAGCACCCCCACCATACCGTCCCCATGGCCATCATGGGAGATTTAAATCACCCTGTCCCGAGGCAGGTGGATGGTGCCTGGATTCAAACATAAGACCTCCTTCATGGATTCCCACCTCCTTACTAACCAACCACCTTCAGACGAAGGGATACAGGAGAATGTTAAATTCAACTATTAGAAACAAGGGCTTTCTTTAAGATAAGTCCTTTTCCCACAATTGCTTTTATGTATGCCTGTCTCTAACTCCAGCATTGTCGCTGAATTTTTAATTAGTTTATAACCTATAACTCTTCCTAATTTGCACAGCCTTAATCTATTTTGTTCAATGGGTCCAAATGTCTCAAAGGTCCTCCTTCATATAATGTTGACTAGTAACTGCTTTACTCTCTTCTCTGATAAATATATTGATGTGAACAACCCAGCATGTAGAGTGATCCTGCAAGTCACTTCACATTACTCAAACTAAATGCACAATAGATGCTACTATCATCAACCTTTCTCCTGCACGCATAGGAATTATAGTTTGTTCGCTAACCAATAAGTCCCAATGATCCTTTCATAAGACTCAGAAGCCTCAATTCAAGTTCCAATTGTGACTAAACTCTCCCTAGTTCTCATCTCCTTCTATTGCATTATAAGCTAAAAAAACCATTTTACAGCCTCTACCTTATTCGTTCATTTTTGCTGTATAAACTTCTCAACAAAAAGTGATTCCCTCTTTCTTTAACATTATAGGCCCTGTAACCAAGATCCAAATCTTAAGTCCTGCTTTGACTGAATTTCTTAAAAATTCTTATGTTTATGGTGTGCTAAATTGCTATCTTAAGAGTTAAACTTGAGGATGTCCTGAAGTTCTAGAATTTGTATTGATGTCACATCATTCATATAGATGCATATAATATTGCATCTTATACCGTAGAACTTCATGGGTGAAGTACTTCACCTGATCCATATCCATGTATTGATGGTTAATGTTATACTTGAAAACAATTTCCATCAATAATTAGCTTTGGAAACTATTAAATTCACATTAGTTCTTACAGATCCAAAGCAACTACTATGAAGTAACAAATTCATCTGGTCAACCCCAATTACACAGAATGAATATGAACTAAACTACATGAACATCTAATTGAACCAAACAAAAGCATCAATTCTTTGGCGACAACCACACAGTTGCATACTAAAACCCTAATCTTCCAAAACCTCTAAATTAGACCAGAAAGCAAAAAAAGAATCAGCAAATTCGATCATAATTCCATAAAATCTATACATATACTACTCCCTCCGTGCTCTGAGAATGATAATTTCAACCCATAATGCTTACAACTTCTCCTTTTCCCCAATTATTTCTTATTTCCCCATTGCGATCGCTGATAGCATCATTTTAAATTCCTATTTTGTTATTATCTAATACAACGATATTCAAACATTTCTACGAAACTAAGTGAAGAGCAGGAATTACAAGGAGGAGATACACGATTGATGAGAAATTAAAATGTATTATTATTATTATCATCATCATTTCATTACCTTTGAGTAATCAAACAAAACGTATCTCCTTCCTTAGTTTGAGCTTCGCCTGCCATTGCAATGTCTCTCATCACCAGTCTTTCTTCCTCCGGCGACAGCTCCGGTGAACTACCACCCACCATCAACACCTTGGCCATTAACTTCCTTCAATTTTTGAGTGTAGAAAATAGAAGGGGTTTGGTCATAATTTGAAAGCTCACGACTTCCCCTGACATGTGTAAATTTCTACCCGATTTTCAGATTGTGGTCACTCGGCATGACGTTTCAAAAACCATCCCTACCAGTGTGCACCGGGTCGGGTCGGGTCAGGTAGGGTGGGTTTGGTTGCACAAATCAAAAGTTATATCGGATTTGGAATATGGAATTAACGGAGGTCTTCGGTTCGTTTTCCATTAAGTACTGTATAGATAAAGTTGTCTGAATTGATAAATATGTCTCAATGATATTTGATAAGTTGTTGTTCGGTTGTTAAGTTGAATAATCGGTCTGAATGGTGTAAATGACCATTTTACCCTTTGTCTTACATTGAACATTCAATTCCACTGATTCAACCACTAGACAAATAGATTGTTCCTCCATAACCAAACCAAATCAAAATCAAACAAAAAATCAGAAACAATATTCAATTCAAAACCCAAAATCAGAAACCAATCGATAAGCCTTAGAATTTTGGATTGCTTCGGGTTGGAATTGATTGGGTATTTGATTGTAGTGAGTTGGGTTTAGATATCATTTAAATGTAAAATATATATGTCTATACTATATTATAAAGTATGACAAAAACTCTTAAAAATTATTTTTAATGCATTTACTGTTTATTGGTGCATGTTATTTAAAATTTAAAATTATAAGTAAATTGTGTGTAAATACAACGTATTAAAGCTTCATGTTTGAATTCGTGTAACTAATTTCAGATAAACATAATCAAATACAAGATAAATATTTCATTTTAAATATAAAAAAATTAAAATATAATTATGATAATAATTAAGTTCAAAAAAATAGTTAATTATTATTTTTATAAAAAATTATATTATTAAACCAAAAATTAAAAAAATGAATTAAAGAAATACAAAAAAATAAAAAAATTTAAATAATTAGTATGGGACTAATATCAATATTTTTTATTTTTTATAATATTTTTATATTTATATTTTATTCAAAAATAAAAAAACAATATAATTTTTTCAAAACCACATAAAATCGTATTATAATATCGTTTAAGACAAAAAAAACTAGATCAAGATGTATTTCGCTTTTCCGCGAGTACTCCTCTAATATATATATATATATATATATATATACACTATATTTTAAAACATTTGACAAAAATTTTTAAAAACTATTTTTTATGCATAAAGTATATTGTTTGTTGATGCATATTACTTAAAATTCAAGGTTACAAGTAACTTGTACATAAATACAACTTATTATAGATTCATATTAGAATTCGTGTAACTAACTGCAGATAAACATAATCAAATATAGAATAAACATCTCATTTTAAATATAAAAAATCTAAAATAAAATTAGAATAATTATTAAGTTCTAAAAAATATTTAATTATTATCTTTATATAAAATTATATTATTAAATCAAAAATAAAAAAATGATTAGAAATACAAAAAAAATATTAAATACTTAGTTTGATACTAATATCAATATTTTTTTATGATATATATTCGTATTTATATTTTATTCAAAAATAAAAATATTATCGTTTTCTCAAAATTACTTAAAATTGTATTATAAATCGACTGAGACAAAAAATGAAACATTAAAATTGAGATGTATCTCGCTGTATTGTGTCAGTACCCTTCTAGTATATATATATATAATCGATTAATAAGTAGGTTTATAAATTAAAAAAGAATATGATTGATTAGGATTTAGTAGTTTTAAAAGATAATTAGATAAATACATATATTTATATAATATTTGTAATATATATATATAGGGGCACGTTCAAATTAAAACCGTGTATTTTTAAGAAACCGTGTAAACCAATTTCGACCAATAGAAAAATTACATTTTTTTCTAATTAAAAGTAATCAATAAGGGTATTTCAGTACAATATTTTATATTAAATATGAAAGTTATTAATAAATCTTAATTAAGGAAACGTAATAAAGAAAATTGTATAAATGGTAACATTTAAATATTTAATTATATTCTAATATTAAACTTTTGAATTTCATATATTGTAATATTTAAGAATCATCAAACAGGTCTTGATGAAACAATTGAAGTGTATAATGAAATCATCAAATCGTAGATGAACAAAAAAAAATCCATAAATGAAACAGGTTTCATGAACGTGAAACTGGTTCATGTTACAAATAAATTATGTGAACCGAAACATTTTCATGGTGAACCCGTTGCATTGATTGTGTAGTTGATCCATTTAGTTGGTAAAGAGAAAAATGAAACCGGTGCATTTTGTATTTGGTGCGTCATGAACTAAGTGCATGATGAAACGAGAAAATGATTTTAATCTGCTACAGAATCTTGAAGATTGTAACTCCTGCTCCAGAATCTTGAAGATTGTAAGGCTTAAAGGAATGAATCAATCAAATCAGTGGTGAAATAAGAAAATTACTRTAYATGAAATAGGTTTCATGAAAGTGAAACTGGTTCATGGCGTTCTTGAGCATGACTAGTGAAACGGTTGCATAATGTATTTGGTTCGTCATGAAATAATTGAATGATGAAAYGGKTACATGAAKAAACTGCTCCAGAATCTTGAAGATTGTAATATGCTTTAAAATCTTTAAGATTGCAAGGCTTAAAGGAATTAATGCTTCAAACGAGGAACGAAAGGAAGAAAATAATTTTGCATGAAAAAAGATTCATTGAAGATCGAGTAAGATGTTACCAAATATTAAATTTTGTTTACCATTTATGTCATTATTGTTGAAATAAAATAATTTTTTAATATATATTTTTATTTAATTTTCTAAAATAAAGTAAACTAATTTTGGCAATTGATCAAGAAAATGGATGGATGAGATTGGTTTACACGGTTTACACAAATGGGGCCGATTTTTATTTGAACGCTTATATATATATATATATATATATATATATATATATACTAGAAGGGTACTTGTGCAATGTATCGAGATACATCTTGATTTCAATGTTTCGTTTTATTCATTTTTTATGTCGATATAATACGGTTTTATGTGGTTTTGAGAAAACGATAATGTTTTTATTTTTAAATAAAATATTAATTTAAAAATATTATAAATWTTTGAAATATATATATATATATATCGATATCAGTATGAAATTAATCTTTTTAAAAGTTCTTATGTTTTGGTGTAATTTATTTAATTATTTTTTTAATTATAATTTAATTTAGGTTAATTAACAAAAAAATTTAATTTAGGTTTAATAATATAATTTTTTATAAAGATAATAATTAAGTATTTTGTTATAATTTAATGATTATTCTAATCATATTTTAGATTTTTTATATTTAAAATGAGATATTTATCATGTATTTGATTATGTTTATCCATAGTTAGTTACAAGAATTCAAAGATAGAACTTTAATAAGTTGTACTTAAGCACAATCTACTTGTAATCTTGAATTTTAAGTAATATGCATCAATAAACAGTACTTCATACATAAAAAATAGTTTTTAAGAGTTTTTGTCAAAATAGTATAGATGTAGAGATTAGTTATTATGTAAATATTTACATTTACTACAACCCTTACAACCAAATCAGGAGCGTCCATTTAATCATCAATGTTTACCATTTAATCATTGTAACTATCCTTAATTAAAATAACGAAAAAGATAATTAAGAAAATGGATGGTTAATAAGTGGGTTCATCTGTTGTATCGTCTATACTTTAAAGGAAGTTTATTTGAACGACCAGTTACACACACACACACACACATATATATATATATATATATATATAAATAGAGAGAGAGGAGGAGGAGGATCAAACGGGAATGATATCTATTTAAAATAATAAGAGAATAATTTTGGATCAATCATTGCATTAAATAAAAACTTTATTAAAAGTCATCCAAAAGAACATATATGTCATTTGTTATATACATATTATATATATATATAATTCATTAAGGTTGGTTATTATACAACCATTTACATTTGTACAACCAATACAACCGAATCTCAACCGTCCATTTAATTTGATGAAGATGTTATTTCATAGAAGTTTTGATTGTTTTCTAATATAAAGTATTAATCACAATTAATGAACTCTATTCATCTTCCATAAATATTCAAATCATAATAAATGAACTCTCATCATTTCCATAAACATCTCAAATTATTGGGTTGCATTGGTTGTATAAATGTGATGGGTTGCATTTGAAACAAACTCTAAATTCATTTATATATATATAAAGGTTATTTAATAAATTTAATTAAGGTATTTATTCATGATTTTTTTTTATAATTTTCGTGATTTAAGCATAATTATTTTTTTATTTATATTTTTTACAACATTTAAAATAAGTATGATTTAGTTTTTTATTTAAAATATTCATTTTATTGAAGTAGTTTATGTAGGAATTTTTTACAATTTTCATCAAAAATCATATGTGATATCCACAATTAATCCATGTTTTTTTCTTAAAAAGTAATTGTTCATTTTAGTCAATGTATCATATATGATATTGATCATGGTAGAAAAAAACATAAGTTATCTACAATATTACACAAATGATGAATTACGTTTTGAAGTACATGTGATCTTATACATTTTAAATATGTTTTACTACACATCACATGTGATTCTGTTTTTTCATTATTTTTCTTTTTTTAATATGTAATTTGAATCATTGTTTTTTAAAATTTAAATCACGTATGATTAGAAAAACATTTGAAAAAAAAATTAATTGTGAATGACATGTGATTTTAAAGAAAATTGTAATTTTCAAAATATTGTTTTAAATAAAAAATAAATCTTTAAAGAAAAAACTAAATACGTTTATTTTAAATGCATTAAATATTTTAAATAAAAATTACATCATATTAAAATTATAAATATGGTAAAAGTAAAATCTTAAATAAATACCTTAATAACTTTTATATAGCTAAATTACTTTTATACCCTTGTTTATTATTTCTTAGAATTAGTTATTTAAAGTATTATTTACTGAAATTATTGGCCCAAAATTATTCCCGTATACTTTAATTAACTAAAAGACAATTTTACTCTTGATTATAGCGATATAACTCTTGTTCATCTCATAACAAAGGATAAAATAAGAAAACAGATACTTATATTTATGACAAACTAAAATAGAAATATGGACACTTATTTATGTATCATATCATATATTACATTATATCATCCTATATTATATTATATGCACACACATACACCAGGTGAGACGCGTACTCCTACTGGTGACTACTTTGACAATTACAGCAGCGAACTCTAACGACCGGCCCCTTTCTCACCCCTCTTCTTTGATCGAAACCTTTGTGACCCTTATCTAAGTATGGAAATGAGACTCGCCCCATTAAGGAGCTCGGTTTACCTTTCCCGACTGGGGACCTACGAAGATCAAGAATGGCGATTGATCAATCACTGGATCATCGCAACAGTGGAAAAACAATGTAGAAGCCTCACTGGGCAATTTTTTTTTTTTTTAAAACATGAGTTGTAAGAATTAGAACCAGCTTCAAGTGGTATGGACTGGGTTTCTACCTCTTTATTCATTAGTGAGTTTTCACGTATCGTATGAATAACAAAAAATAAAGAGACAGTCGAGTGATGATTGATCAATCACTGGATCATTGCAACAGGCACAAGCCAGTGGCCAAATGACTGCTTAGGATGAGGAAGTAATACTTAAAAGGTTACTTAGAAACCAACTCAATTGCTTTATGAGACGAGATTCATAGAAGCATTACCTGATGAACTGTTGTGGACAAGATGCAGGTGATGAAAGAACGCAGGTTGAGATGGAACAGAGGAAGAATGAGATGATGTACTGGATGAGACTAAACGTATGCAAACTGAGATTGACGAAGGAGGCTAAGGTTTGAGATGTGCAAAGTGGGTGTTGATCGTCGATCGCAAACAAATGAGAGGAAGAAGAT